ACACGCTCGCTCTGCAGCTAATCCCTTGTCCCTATTTTCCTCTCAGCATGGGAAAGCAAATCACTGCTTTTAATCCCATTTTCCAGCTCCTGCTCGAACCTGGAGGGGGTCTCAGGCCCAGGTGAGGATCCCTTGGCCTCCTGCATGCAGGTGGGATGCACATGGAGGGATGCACGTGGTGGGGTGCAAGTGGGGGGATGCACATGGGGGGATGCGCTTTGGGGAATGCGCATGTGGGGATGCACATGGGGGGATGCACATTGAGGGGATGCACTTGGTGGGATGCACTTGGTGGGATGCACATTGAATGATGCACATGGGAGGATGCACATGGGGGGATGCACCTTGGGTTGCAAGGGGTTAAAGAGCAGCCAGGCTCTCCCCCAGGTGCCAATTGCTCCGAAGCCGGAGGCTGAGCCGTGACTTTGCTGCAGGTGGGTGGCATGAGAGCATCACGAGCTGGCGCGGCAGTGGCGTGGGCAGTGCCGCCGGGATGGGATGATTAATGCTGGGGGCGGCAGGGAGAGACCCAGCAAGGAGCTGATACGCCAGGGCTGGCAGAGACGGTGCTGGCAGAAAGGAGACACTTGTCACCGTCTCCCCGGGAAGTGACAAATCGGGCTCCTGCTCCCACCTCCGACCGTGCGGCGTCTGCAGGGACGGTGCTCACGACATGTGAGGTTCCCGGCATTATTATTACTATTTATTACAGCAGCCACCTGGTAGTATCAGCTACCGCTGGCCATAAACTGCTCACAGCCCAAGCAGGGAGGGCATCCCAGTGGGACCAGGCGATCCGCAAGGAGCTCAGGTTCCCTCTGGGGTTTTGCAGAGAGCCAGCACTGCGGGTTTCTGCAGCATGAGGCAGCCCTGCAATCCCTGGGCTCCAAAATCGCCTTCTTTCCACCCTGGCTGCACGGGGAGGGTGCAAGGGACGGCTGGAGACCGTGCCATCAATCAGCAGCAGGGCCCTCGAGGGGCTGCATCGCCTTTTGCACAGCAGCACTCGGATATGTGCGTGAAAGCAGGCGGCGTTGGGCGGCTCTGCAGGGCTTTCTGCAGGATTTTCTGCAGGGCTTCCTCGCTGCAATGCTCGGGTTTGCTCTGCCCTCTCGTGGCATCGCGCTGCAGGATGCGCTCGCCGGCTGCGCGGGGCAAGATGCAGTTCCGGGGATGCTCCCGCGCATGGAGCTGCCCTGCATCCCCGGAGCATCCCTTGTCCAGAGCTTGGTCCCCTACCTTGCAGGAACAACGTGGTCCAGGAACCATCAGTGCACTGAGTGCCTCAGGCCTCAATCTTGCTGATGTGATACTGTACCATAGTGCCACTGAGCAGCACTGGTCCCATCAGGGGGTCGGGACTCCCAGATTTTCCCTGCTGAGTCCCTCTGCTCTGGACACCCTTCCCGGGACCGGCAGAATCCAGGTGCAAGAGGCCAGAGGATGCCCTTCATTTCCAAGAAGGGAACAGAGGAGGAGGCTCTCACCTCAGTGCATCACTACGTATAATCTATATAGTATTATAACACATTTGTACATATAATGTTTTTGCACACATTAAAAAAATAGTTAGAAAAAGGAAGATTATCTTCCTTGCGCCACTCCAGCTCTCTCCAACTTTACACTGGGGACAGGGGCAGGGAGATGAGGGATGTCACCCTTTCCCAGGGACATTCGCGATCCCTATAAAAATACCCCCATTTGGGGCATTTATAAAGCTCTAGAAGCATATGTACCTTTATATATAAAAACATATTTCTCTTCTTTTCGTCCCATGGCTGCTGAGTTGAGATGTGGGAGACTCCTCCTTACTCCCTATGGAGTGCTGGGCATGGGGACCGGACCGTCTCCTCAGCACCCTCTCCGTGCGCTCCAGTTCTTGGTGCTCCCGTTAAAAGGCCCCTGTGTGGCCCAGCCACGGCTATTGGATTGCTCCCTTAGCCCTGTTCTTGAACCTAATCCTCATTAGACTGAAACCCCTTGCAATTAAGGCAGGCTGGGCTCCCCCTTTGTCTTTCTTTTAATTGGGCCCTTCCCGCTGCTAAATGGGCAGCTTAAGCATCCCAAAGAGCCTGAGAAAAGTCCCCTAATGGGGTTTGCAAGTGGAGAAATAACAGCATAATCAGCCCCTTCCTCTTTGTGCCAGGCGCCCTTCACACCGCCTGCCTCCCTCCTCTTCACACCCTCTCCCTGGCAGATGGGAGCGTTTTGGGGGGTTGCATGGCCTTCTTGCCGTTCGCCATCCTCCTTCTGCTCCTGGCCTTTGTGCCAAGACTGGGAAGGAGCTGGGAAAGCTCCATTGGTTGGCTTGGGGATGTCAGGCCCGAAAGGACACCGCTTCTCCCTTTCCTTTTTCTTTTTTTCTTTTGCATTTTTTCTCTCTCAGGTTCTGCATTTCTCTCTCTTCCCTCCCCCCCCACCCCTTTTTTTTTTCCATAAATCCAAGGACTGGCTTTGTTTGAAGCTTTCATGCACGAGCCAACCGGGTGCTAAAAGCGTCTGCTCCTGGGCACTTGAAATAACTGTGCAGGTCAGGAGCCCGTGCAAGGATAGCCAGATGCTCCTGCACAAATCCGTGGGGTGCTCGTGCACGGTGCAGTTGGGTGCGATGCCGTTAGGTGCTCCTGCGTGAACTAAGTGGGTGCATAAGTTAGCAGGGCGCTGCAGTGTTAATTAATTGCGCTCTGGCTGTGCTCCCTGGGTGCTCGTGCACGAGATGACCGGGCGCTCGTGTCTGCACCTAATGGGTGCTCATGCACAAGCAACCTGGGTGCTCGTGCGTGTGCGTGGGGTGCTCGTGCACGGGCTGATCGGGCGCTCTTGGGTGAACAATGAGGTTGGGGAGGCTGTTTGCACCTGCCTGGGCTTTGCAAGAGGAGCTCTGCTCGCCTGTGAGAGCTCCGTGCTTCCCGTGGGCTCCTCTTCCAAGCCTTGGGCATGACGAGCCCTTGGGCACCATGGCAGAGAGGGCAAATGCCTCCACATTCCCGGTTTCCCGCACAGCAGCTCCGGGCTGTGTCTCCCTCGCTTTGCTTTTGTCCCAGTGTGTCTGCAAAGTTTTCGCACCTGCTTCTTGAGCAGATTCCCAAGGCAGACGGGGGATGAATGGGAGAAAAGAGGCATACAGGCGGGAGAAAAGGGATGTAAAGGTGGGAGAAAAGGGATGTAAAGGCTGGAGAAAAGGGACGTGAGGGCGGGAGAAGCCTGTGGAGAGGGTGGCCAGCAGAGAGGCCCTGCAGTGAGCAGGGCCGTGGAGAGGAGGACATTGGGCTGCTGGAGAGTTCTGGGTGCTCAGGGAGATCTCCTGAGATCCGCGTTCAGGAGGAGGCTTTTGTGCATTTGGAAATGTCAGGGTGCTTTATTCTGCATTTAGATTTTTTTTCTTTCCTTTATAAACCCCAAATCTTTCTGCAAGTTTATAGTCTTTCCCAGGGCACAAGATCTGATCTAGGCGGTATCTTAGCATATTCACATTCGGTCATATTCCAGCATATCGCCCAGCACTGGGAATATTCCAGGGCTATCCCAGGGCACTTAATCATGGAGAGAAGCCGGAGTGTGGCGCACGGCTGAGTCGCCCGGGCCGCCCGCCTTCCCCCTTGCAGACAGCTTGTATATCCCGCTCTTTTCTCTCCCATATGGTGTCAAGCCCGCCTTGGGCAGGGAGCCTGGGAGAGCGCCTGGAAGACAGCTGGGAACAGGGCGGGAGCAGCCGCCGCCGCCGCGGCCGCTTGCAAAGGGCCGCAGCGGGATGGAGAGGGATGCGGCGCCGGGAGCATCTCCCTGGAAACGGCGGAGCCGGAGCCACAAAGAGCAGCGTCCCTCCTGCCGCCGCTCCTCAATTCCCGCCCCAGCTTTTTTTTGGTTTTATTTTTACAGCCCGGAGAGCAGGGTCCCTCGGGCAGGGTCCCCCCCAGTTGGAACTATTGTGAGTTCCTGACGCTTAGCCCTAGGGAAGCGCGTTTCTTAACACAGCTGCCACTATAACTTATTGCAGTGGCCTGCTACAGCCTGGGAGAGGGTGGGAAGGGATGCGAAAGGAGGTCATGGAAAGGGTGCTGTGCATCCCTGCAGACCCTTTGGAGTGGGAGAGGACGCAGCTCCCCATCTCTTCCCATGGGCACAATGTCGGATCCATGACCCAAAAACCAGAGCATCCTTGAGCACGGTCCCTTATCATCTTTCTTTTTTGTTCTTCCTCCTTTTTTTTTTCTTTTTTTTTTTTTTAATTATTGTTATTATTTTTAAAATGGAATCCGTTTTCCTTTTGGAAACCCTCTGTCCCATACACAAAAGGGAAGGGGTCCTAATCCAGGGATCCCTGCATGGGGACCAAAGCTGCGGGATGCTCTAAGAGCCCCCGAGGCCCCAGCCAGGCTGCCAATCTCTATTAATGATGCTTGTTAGAAATCCCGCGGGGCCACCTCTTGGATCTGGAGGGACAGGGGGCTCTTCCAACATAATTTATTCCCACTTAACCTCATTATGGGGAAGAAAAAGAGCCAGGAGCGGAGTGTGACCTCAGGGAGGGAGGATCCCACCGGGTGGCAACCATGGGATGCGGGAGCTCCGTGTCCCTGCTCAGCACAGGGCCAGGAGCACCTTATCCTGTTATCCCCTGGAGCAGAAGGAATTGCCATTCCCTCCCTCCAACGACCTGGAAAGGTGAACACGGCCCTGCCACCCCCGGGGCAATGGGCTGCGTTTGTGGGGGAGGAATTGGCCACCTGCCCCAGCCCCAATCCCGCACATGGGATAGGGATAGGGATAGGGACAGGGACAGGGACAGGGACAGGGACAGGGACAGGGACAGGATGCACACCTGGGCAGGCACCACATGCCAAACTCCTTGCTCAGCTCTTTCGGCACTTCCTTTTCCAGTGCCTGGGGTGCAGACGAGCCCCAGCTGAGCTCTGCCCATATATAAGGATCACCTGGCTGCATCCCAGTGCATCCCGTTCAGCCTTGTGTGGTGGGGTCTGGGAAAGGCTTCTTGGCTCCATCATTGCCCTGTTCTTTTAGGGGGAACAGTGGGGAAAAAGCAAGGACAGAGAGCAAAGCAGGTAATTGGGATGGAGCCTGGTTGTGCGTTGCTTTTACAAGGGGCTTTAAAGCCCTGTGTTTAGGGAGAGTATTTCCCTAAGGAATGGATGGAGGGATGGGCTCTCCCAGGACTGGTCTCAAGGGAGCTCAAAGCTCCTGTAGGAGACAGGGATGCTTTTTCCTGGGGGAATTTCCAGCACAAAATAGGGCCTAGAGGCAATCCTGGCTCTTACGGCAACCTGTGGCTGGCAGGCGGGGAAGGGACAAACAAGGTGGGCCCAGCAATGAATGGAGCCTCCTCCTCCTGTTGGGAGAGCCTCGGGATGAGCAGCTTGGGGAATTTGCCTGCAAGACCCTGTAGCTGACGGATGGGAAGGAGTGTGCTTAATAAATGCAATGGCCTCGTGGCTCCTGCTGCTCACTGGCTCCAAAGGATGCTCCAATGATGCCAGAAAAATAATATCTGTCAGGAGCTGTGTCTGCTCCACCTTGGAGAAGAGCAGGGTGAGGAGACGAGGCATGGCAGCAGTGCGATTCCTCCAGCACTGGCTCTTCTGCCCCATTCCCTGCCGTTATGAGAGGGTGTTTTCTGCTCTTCACTCTGAGCTTTAATGAGCTCTTGCACTAAATAAACCTAGGAATGGCCTCGTTGAGCGAAGGGAAGCCTAAAAGCTCTGGATTTGCCCGTGTTTTCCCCTTGCACAGCTTCAGCACCTGCCTTTGCTCACAGATCTCTAGTGTTTCTTTTTCTCTTTGTTTGCAAAGCTGAGCAAACAGAGAAAAGAGAAGCTCAGCTTGCTTTGTTTGCAAGGTGCTCAGAGCACCCAGTTCATGGCAACTGCTCTCCCTTTATTTCTAGCACTCTGATATAAAAATAAATAAATAGAAATGCAGGTTTAGCCCAGCGTGGAGGATGTTCTGGCAGCCGGGATGCAGTGCGTTGTGCAGAGCCTTTGGAGGAGCAGGGTGAGCAGGAGAGGGAAGGTAGGAAGAGGAATCTCCTCTCCATACATCCCCATGCTGCGGGGGTCCCACCCACATGTGCCTGGAAAGGCGCTAGTTTGGGGGCCCTTGGAGCATCCCTCCATCCTTGGAGCATCCTCTGCTCCGCAGTGCCTGCCAGGATGGAAAGGACAATTCGGCAGCTCCGCTGGCTCCTGCTGCACCGCGGCTTCCATCCACGAGAGGCCACTTTCCCCTCGCCTGCTGCTGCAAAGTTTCCCAGGATCCGCTCCCCTTGCTCTCGCCCGGTCTGGTTGCTAATTCCATGTGTGGGTGACATCCAAGCGCTGCGCCTTGGCACGGCCGCCGCTCCTTGCTCCTTTATGGCACTTCATTTCAGAGCAGCCTCTGTGCTGCCAGAGCCGCGAGCCAGCCGCTCACTTTAGCTGGATTAATTCTCCTGGGTCAGCCCCACTTTGCATTGGGTTTTTTAATTGAATGGACCTTTCCTGTCTTGCATTTTTGCAAATTCAGCCTTGGTTTGCTTCCAGTTTTGCGAGGAAAGAAGAAAATTAACACAGCACTAAGCGGGGGAAGCTCTTCTGAGAGGGACCCGTCTCTTGAGAACCCATCTCCCTGGCCAAGAGAGGAATGAAAAGGAAGGTCCCGATGGAAACAAGCAGGAGAGGAGCAAGGGGAGCTTTGCTCTTGGAGAGCTTTGTCTCCTCTCGTCCAGAGGCTCTGACTAAATTTTACAGCGAAAAGAGAATTAATCACTTGCAATAAGTCCTGCTTGCCTGGAAGCAAATCCCAGGGCAAATCCCTGCTCCCAGGGCAAATCCCTGCTCCCAGGGCTACGAATGCACCCAGTGTCCAGCTGAAAGGGGCCGCTCACTTCCAAGATCCCAGCCCGGATCTGCTCACCCTTGCAAAGTGCCGGGCTCCTTGCAAGGGTGATGTGCCCCAACAAGCCTTTGGCTCAGGGAATGCTCCAGCTCTTGCCTAACAACGAAAACGATGACTGTGAGGAGAGGGGGGAAAAATGGAAAAGATGGAGCCTTTGCACAAGCTTCACCTCTTCTTTCTTTCTTCTTTTTTTTTTTTTTTTTTTTAGGAAACCAATTTCTCAAATGAAACGCGGTGCTGAGCAGACGTCTGCGAGCGCCTGACTCAGACGGCCCTAATGGATGAGGTGGAGGTTCAAAAAGCACTTTGCTTAATTGCAGGGCTCTGCCGGCCGCTGCCAGCGGGAGCCGGGACGTGCTTCCCGACAGCCCCGACGCGGACGGGGATACGTGGAGGCTCGGCCGGGTGCCGCTCCTTGGCTCCCATCCCGCTCCCTGCAGCAAGCGGAGCGTCTTGGCAAGGAATGGGCACCGTGATGGGAATCTTATGGTGGCCGAGGACTTTGCATCCACTAGCCCCGTTTGGTTGTCACCTCCTGCACTTCCAGGACAGGCCATTCCCGGACGGGCCACCAGGAGGCACCAGGACAAGGCGCTGTCCCTTGTCCCTGCTCCGCTGCCTTTCCCTGCAGTGCTTCCAGCTTTTCTGCTCATTGTTGGGCTGCCCTTTTGGGGGAAAAAAGGCCTGCGAATGGGGTCCCATGGTTGGCAGGCTGCATGGGGCCGGGGGACAACCCATCCTAAAGGATGTGCTGGGTGGACAGTGGTTTTCCCCTAGGACACAGGGAAGGGGAAGCTGGAAGGGTGGATGTCCCCATAGGTGACTTGAGCAAAGTGGCACTGGATCCCCAGCACGCTCTACCCTTGCAGGCACAGCTACTTATTGGATGGGGAAAACATTTGGGATGTTTGGGATGCTGATAGCATCAATGCTTGGACAAAACTGCTGCTTCTCTAGTCCTCCCTGAGACCGGATCCTGGCTGGAATCCACATCTGCACCTGGGGAAATGCAGACGAAGGAGCAAGCAAGTGGCTTGCCCCAAATCCAGGAAAAAGATAGCCAAGGAATCCTATTTATCCCGCAGAAGAGACCAGGCTGTCCTGCTCTGGGCATGTGGCTTGGGCATCCGAGAGCGGACAGCAAGAGGTTAACTCATCCCGAATCCTTCCTTCGCGTGTGTGCCCGGAATACCGAGAGGAGAGGAGAGAGTTGGGGAGATTCAACGGGAAGCAGCCCCTGCACTGGCTCCCAGCCTTGCACTGGGATGCTAAAATATCTCCCACTTATCCTGTGAGTGCATTTTAAGAAAATCAATTTATTTTATTTTTTATATAGAAATCTTTTAAAAGATGATAGTTTTAATGTCTTTTCTTTTTTTTTTTTTCCCCCATCTCTATCCCCCCTCCCTTTTCTTTTTCTTTCTTTTGGACCACACTAATAGCAGCAGCTGCTGCTGCATTAACTGTTTTGGATGAAATTCAACACAAAAGCCTCCATCTCCCTGAGAGTCTAGGCCAATAAATCCTACTTGAGCTCGGAATGGGGTTTGGGATGCGCGAGGGCCCAAGCCGGGAGCCCTGCAGCCTCGCGGGCACCTCAGCTCTGCAGAGGCTGCCAAGTGCCCTTAAACGGGGCTCTAAAACCTTGGAACCTCCCTCTTTGGGGGAAAAAAGGGGGAAAAAAGCCATATCCCTGCATGTCCTGAATCTTAATCTCTCCTCTTTCAACTCGAGTCCTGCTTCCCAGAGCCGTCAGCAATCCCGTGAAAAGAGGAGCTTCCAAGAGCATCTCGCAGCAGTTGCTCGGGATGCTCAAGGGAGTCCCAGAGTGGTGCAGGGTGTCCCGGGGACCAGGAAGAGCCGCTGCAAACGGGAATGTCCCACTGCCCATCCCGGATTCTTTGCCTTTTAAGAGCTTGTTGCAACAGGAAAAGGGAATATTTCTTGCAGGGGTTTTGGTAAAAACGTGTGGTGGGTTTTAGCATCATGTGTGTCCTGCTATGAAGTTTTATCTGCATTTGACAGGAGAGGTCAGGAGCTCAGAGATGCTAATATCCTTCCAGCCAAGGAAAAGAGAAAACCAAGAGGAAAATCCTCCATTTCTCTGCAAAAGAGCAGGCTGTGTGGTGAGCAGAGCCCTTTCCAGTCATCAGAATATCCTGATAGAAGGTGTCTTTATGGCAAGCCAGGCTTTAGTTGCTAAAAGATCTATGAAATGCTGCCTTGTGCTCCTGGGGACACTTTGGGCTAACCTGTGACATGAAGGGGGCAAACGACAGCTGAGTTCAGGCACATTCAGCTAGGAAATTCTCCTGTTTTTCACCTAAATATTCATTTTTCACCCTGAATATTCTTGTCCCCTCGCGGTGCTGTGTCAGTGACCCCACGGCCTGTCCCGCAGCACTTGCCGCGGTGCTGCCCGTGGGCTCTGGGTCACCATTGGGAGAAGCAAAGAGCTAAATTTTTGCTTTATAGGTAAAAAAGAAAAAATGCCTCGCTTGCACTTTTTTCCTAGCTAATCCAATTTGCTCCTTACCGCTTCCAAATGCCTTTTAAAGATCCCTAGCAATGTATTACAGAAATCCATTTGCCGCGATGCAGCGGAGAGGGGCATTTTTATTTCGCCGTTATTAGCGAGTGACAAGGTAAGTAACTCGGGGACGATTGATCACCCGAGCCGGCGTTTTTACTTTCTCAATTAATCCTGGCATGATCGTAATAAATCCAGGGCGGGGAGGAATGAGACGGGAGCGGACCCCGCTTCCTCGCGCGGCTGCGTGTCAGGGTAATGGATAGAGACATCTTTCTCCTGGAAGGGGCCTAGGGAGACGTCCAGTTAGATGGGATTTCTGGAAAGAAAGATAGATGGCAAGGGCCAGCAGTCGCTTTTTTCCTCAATGGAGAACAGCCTCTTGCCATCAATCCACATTAAGAAGACTTCATGGCTATGCAGAAATCCAGCAAGTGTAATATAATTAGCCCAGTGCACTTTTTAAGTTGGGATTTGTTAATGGTATATCATTTGCCCTGAAGTTCACACTGCCTTTTCCTTCTCTCTCTCCCTTTTTTCTTTTCCTTTCTTCCTTTTTTTTTTCCCTTTCTACTATTTTATTTTATTTTAGATTTTTTTATTTTATTTTTTTAAATTTTCTTTATTTTTTTTCTTTATCCTTTAACCTTTATTTTCTTTTATTTATTTTTCAAATTTTCTTTTCTTTTCAAATTTTCCCTCTTCTCTTCTCTTCTCTTCTCTTCTCTTCTCTTCTCTTCTCTTCTCTTCTCTTCTCTTCTCTTCTCTTCTCTTCTCTTCTCTTCTCTTTTTAAATTTTCTATATTTTCTTTTATTCAATTTATTCTTTTAATTGAAAGAGTCCTTGCAGTTTGCAGGGTGCCTTTGCACCTGGGGTTCACTCCTAAGCTGTGCTGGAGGTTCCCAGCCAGCAAAACAAGGATGACAGGTCTGTGCGTCCATATGGCTGGAATTCTACAGCATAGAATTCCACGGAATTCTATGATTTCCAGGAAGAGCAAAGGGAGATGCCAAGAAACCATTGGTAAACCCAGGGAAGAGCAGCCTGGAATTGCTGGGAAATCTGGAGCTTCGCACCCCAAAATTCACCTCTCTGCAAGGAGCCCTTCCGTGCAGACCGCACCGGCCTCGGCCCCGCTGCCCGCTGAGGTCTCATGAATAGATTTACTTATTTGAAAGTCATTGTAGAGGCCGGCAGCCTCCTGGACACAGCCTCCCGGAGGCCGCTTGGCAGCAGCTGCTCCACAGCTTCATCAAGAGGTTTCTGATGGCACAAAGAGAGGCAGCCGACAGCGTCAGAAAGCACCGAGAGGGATTCGGTTAAGAGAAAAAAAGGAGAGGAAAAAAAAAAAAAAAAGGCACATTAAAATATGTCCTTATCAGAAATGGGGGGCTTAGGAAATGGCCAGTGAGGAATGGAGGTGAATCGTGGAAAATTGTGGAAAAGCAGGGCCAGGCTGAGAGGGAATAGGAGCCTGTTCCTCCTCCAGGGAAGTGTTCATGGGTAACACGGGGATCCTATTTTGCATTGCCAGGGTATCCACATGGGGCTTTTATTTGCACAGAAGCCTTGGCCTAAAATCCGGATACGCTACATAGTGGGAATGAGGAGTTCTGCTCTCGGGCCCGGACACGCTGAGAGTCGGGGCCGTTTTCACCCTGCAATTGCTGATATTACCGCTGTAGATGCCTCTCCAAACGCAGGGGCGCTGAGCTAGGCAGACCTTTGAAGTTGCTCTCGGAGATCTTAGGTCCTTTCTGCAGGAAAATCTTGGAAAAATGATCCCTACGCACTCAGGGATGTACAAGAGCAAACCTTGACTGAAGAGTCCTAGTAAACTCTCAAAAATCTGATTATTCATAGCCTCAAGGTGATACTTGAACTGCAAGATTAATGAAACCAAAGTTTTTGCAAGCCCCGGGTTTTAAATACCAATCTTGCAAAGAGTCTGGGCAAAACCCAGTGACTTATCTATTTTTGCCAGTGCCATTGGTTGCTTATTTGTGCATGGATTTGCCCAATGATGCAAGTACCGTCACCTTTACGAGGAGAGCTTGGAGCATTTTGATGCATTTTGATGTTGTTGCTTTGAACAAGCACACTTGCTCCTGCTTATGAACTTTACTGAAAGTGTATATAGGAGAGATGAAACCTGGGTTTGGGTTGGTATAGCAACTCCACCAGTGAGCCTGCAAGGTTGTATAAACCCACTTGAAAGAACTAAACAAATAGCAGCTAATGCATCAGAAAAAAAAAATAATAATAAAAAAAAATAAATAAAAAGCTTGTTAAATCAATTTTCCTCTTCATAGTTTGAAAGCAGATGGCAAGGTGGGGCTAACAGGAGAGCCCCAGCACGTAGAAAACGCTACCCACGAGGAGTAAATAATTTCTCCCCTCTCCAACTTGCAGACTCGCAGCGTGGGAGCAGAATATTAGAGCTGGTTTCTTCCACCTTGCACTGAGGTTGTTGCTGTGATTTACAGTGGAGCAATGTGCGAGGAATATATTAAAAATTAATAATTAAAATAGCAAAATAGTCTGCCAAGCATTTCTATATTTTTAGCTGATTGCTTGAGTTTGCACAGCTCCCTTGGCCCTCATTTGGAAGCCACTTCTCCTTTTGGGCAGAAGGAGCTGAAATCTTTTGCTCTGGCAAACAGCTCTCAGCAAAACCCATGTTCCCCAAATATCAATTTTTATATAGTCCTGACCCTCCAGATCAGAACCTGGGAGCATTGCTCCCAATCCTGGGAATGTTGGGATCCACGGGCAAGGTCTCTCCCTTCACAAAGCTGCACTTTTGGGAATCTCAAGGTAGGTGTTGTCAGAATTAAGGATTAAGGAGCAAATTTGGCATCCAAGTAGCTATGAAGTCCTGTGGCTTTTGGAGATGAAGCCTGCAAGAGGGACCTGGAGACTGGGCTTTTCTTCAGCCTTATGGGGAGATGATAGGGACAGTCCCGAGGTGCTGGTGGAGGTTTTAATGTGAATCTGCTCAGGTCCAGATCAAGCAGATATGTGGCCTGCCACGCTGAGGCCAGACAAGTCGCTGCTAATGCCACGGAGAGAGACAAGCAATTAATTTGTGAATTAAGAGCTCATTTCTCCATTCTTATTCTTTGCAGACGCACAGCAGCTCGACAGAGCCATTTTTGCAATAATGACAGAAAAGGAGCAAACCATAAAATTTCTGTGAAACTTTTTGGTTGCCCCGGAGAAAATCTGGTGCTACGCATTGTGCTTTAGCTCCCTTTTCCTTGGGGTGACTTTGCTCTGCAGGGTGAGTGTGCAAGAACAGCCCCAGGGCTGCTCTGAAATCGCTGCTGGAAAGTGGAGCGTGCAGGTTAGGACCAAACATACGCAGTGCATCTTCCTGGGAAAACCCACAGCGGTTGTGAAATTTCCGGAGAAATTTATGGAATCTCCACTGCTTCTTCCTCCTTAATGTAGAAACAAGTGTCAGGGAGCAGTTTGAAAGAAAACTCGTGCTTTTCTACCTTATAAACAATTTCTGTTTATGTTCCCAGGAGGGAAACGGGTCAGTGGTGGCCTATGGGGCAAAGAGCACTGCTGCAAAGCCCGGGACAAGCTGGTGGCCTGCAGGTCCCTGCAGCTCAGCTGTGTATGGAGTTGTGCACATCAATGTGCACAAGCCGTCGTGCACGTCCTGGGCTCCGTGGGCACCGGCCTGGTTAAATTTCACCCCGCGATCACTAACTCACCTGCTCGGCCTTGGGTCGCGAGCACGGCTCGCCAGCGAGGAAAACAGCCTTGTAAAATCGCCTCCGGGGATGGCTAATTTATGGAGGGAAGAAACAATATCCTTCCCCCGGTGCCACTTAACTTTTCATTTCATTTTTGCAGTAATTGCACGTGACATCTGGAAAGATTGCCATGCAATCCCGGGGGAAAGGCAGGGCGGGAGGTCAGGATGCTCCAGGGGCGGACACAGCCCTTGCAGTGCAGGGGGCTTGGGGCAGGAGCCCCAAGTGACACCGTTCCCCTTCCTTTGCAGTCGTTGATGGGACAGCGCTGGTGTCACCGAGCGCTCCCTGCATCGGGACCGACCCGGCTCTCCGTGCCTCAGTTTCCCCATCGGGAAAATGGGAAGAGCCGTCAGTGCAGGGACACTACGGACACCAAGGTGCCTGCGGGGCAGCTCGGCCGGAGCCTGGGGAGGAGCGCGGGGACCGGCTGCCGCTTTGCGGAGCTCGCTGCACCTTTAAAAATCCCATCACGTTGCCGCTGGATTATCCATTAACCTGATGGGAGCTGCTTGGGGGCGGCGTCCTGGGCAGCGAGCGCGGCCGCTCGGCTGCCTTCCTCCCTTCCCCTCCTCCTCTTCCTCCTCCCTGCTTATCAGCAATTCAGATTGCATGCAAATCTCCCGGCTTTCTTCGGCGGGCAAGGCGGAGGACGGAGCGTTTCTGCCGAGCGCAGCTAGGGAGGGAGTTATCTCCTCCTCCTTCCCCACCTCCTCCTCCTCCTCTTGAGGTTTTCTTCCTTCCCCCCTCCTCTCTTCTCCCCTCCCTCTCTCTTTTCTCTTTCTTTCCTGCCTTCCACCTCCCCGAACAAAAGTCGCGCTTCTCCCGGCGCAGCCCCGGCCGGAGCGGGGCCGCTTTGTTCGCCCGCGCCGTCGGGGCACCCGAGCGAGCCGGCTCGGGCCGAACCGAACCGGGCCGGGCCCGGCGGGCCATGGGGACCCGGCGGGGGCGAGCGGGGGCCGCGCTGGTGGCGCTGCTGGCGCTGCTGGCGGCCGCCGGAGCGACGTGCCCGGAGCGGGAGCTGGAGCGGCGGGAGGAGGAGGCCAACGTGGTGCTCACGGGCACCGTGGAGGAGATCCTCAACGTGGACCCCGTGCACCACACGTACTCCTGCAAGGTACCTGCGCCGAGCTCCTGCCGGGGCCCGAGCTCGCGGTTCCTGTCGCACCGGGCTCCTTTTTTCTTTCTTTTTTCTTTTTTTTTCTTTCCTCCCCCAGCATGTTTCCTATCGCCGCGGAGCGCGGCTTTGGTGTGTAATTAGGTATTTTTAGACCGCGGAGTTGCTCCCTGGTTGCTCTTCCGAGGGGGAATCTCTTAAGGTTGCTTTTTATGGGCATTTCCCTGCATTCCGCCCGACAGGGCTGCCTCCCAACTTTCTGCTCGGGAAGGGTTTAGGCCGCTCAGGAAGGTGCTTAGAGCTGCTAAACGTAGCCCCTGGCTTATTGTAAGGGCGTCTTGGCTACCTCTAGCCCCAACTATTGCTTAACTGCGAATCTGCCCTCTGGCTATGTCTTTTAAATAAAAAAAAAAAAAAAAAATCTTGAGAGACAGCAAAGTAGTGAGCGACCTGAAATACCATCTGCTTGGGTGTCAGAAAATGTGCTTAACCCTTGCAGGGACAGCAGTCCTGCTTGCCAGGACTTGTGTCTGAATTTGCATTTTTTTTCCCCTTTTTCACAGTCTTATTGTGCTTAAAAAACGCAGTGGCCCTTGGCTGGCATTAGTGAAAAGCAGGGCCTGGTGTGATGCAGGGAAAGGGTTGTTTTGCCCTGGGTTTTGGAGAATTTCTCCGAGGAATAAACCAGCTGAAAAGCCTTTTTTCTGCCCACCTGGTGCCAGCTGCTTGGCGCTCGCTTGCAGCACACGGGTCCTCGTGCAATCTGCACCCTGCTCTTGTCAATTAAATCGCAGACCCTGCAGGCTGGTGCAGACCCTCCTTCTGTTTGCAAAGTGTCTGGCACGTCCTGGGCGCCACATAGAAAACTAATAAGCTGGTGTGAAGCAGCTTGGGGGGCATATGGCTGGATGGATGCGGGCCACCTGATGTCAGGGCAAGGGGTGCAATGCAAGGGGATGTGGCCAGAAATCCTCACCTGAGGACATAGCAGAGTGTTCTGGTCTAAAATCCAGACTTTATTTCATTGAATTGGAATAAAACTCTGCTCTAGAAAAGCTGTGTGGTGAACTTGCTTGTCCGGCAGCCCTGTGTTTGGAGGGATGCGTCAAATCCAAGGAGCGCGGAGGAGCTGGGATGTGTTGGGAGGACCCTGGGTTGCAGGTGGTGGCTTTGTGCGAGGTGTAGCTTGGTGTGTGGCTTGGGACCAGCCTCTCCTGCTGCTTCCGAGCTTGGTTGTGGCATAACAGCAGCTGGAGGCGAGAACCAAGGAATGATTCCCCTACGGGTCCCACCAGAGGAAGTGGAAGGGGAAAGCCCTGATCTCCTGCTTTTTGCTGAAGTGCCCATCCCTTCTCCTTGCAGCATCTTGCTGCTGGTCCCAGCCCTGCTGTGATATTCAGTGATTCTCTTAAACACCATTTTTAAAATCCAATTCTTCAACCCATTTAACTGCGTAAAGAATTTCCTCTATGCATTTATCTTATAATTTTTTTTTTTTTTTAATTTCCCTCCTCTCTGGGAACACACCGGGTATGTGCCATAAAGCTTCAAAACGGGATTTGGAGTCTCCAGAGCCCAAAAGGATGTAAATCAGCAGCTCTTTAAACCTCCTGAGCTCGGGGGATATAATGCGCTTGACTTTGCTGCCAAGCGAAGCATTTATTAGTTTTGCTGTGTCCGGGATCCCTCAAAGCAGTGGATTCTTCCAGCGTTGGGTGGTAGGATCCGATCAACTTACATGTCAATTTGGGGGAGAGGGAGCCCCCAGTCGCAGGAGCTGGTTCTAAAAGGGCAGTTTGAGCATTAAACCCTCCTTGGGCTCCGACTGGCGCTGTGTGGAACTGGAACCAGGCAAGGTGCAAAACTGATAATTGCAGGTCGTGAGAAAGCACATATTTCCTTCCTCGCTGTAGCAGCTCGGATAACTTCCATAGACCCTGGGGTTACCTCCAAATACCAGAGTTATCTCCTGTCAGGTTCTTTATCTGAGCGGAAACGCAAGGGCAGGAGCTGCCTGGAGCGTGTGGGACAGCGGGAGGTGCTGGTGCCGGGTGGTCCGTGGGCTGAGCAAGGGCTGGGCAGGCTCCGTGTTACTGCCCTCGTCCTTCCAACTGACCTCCAAACCCGCAGGCTTCAGTAGATGGACCTAGGTGCATTACAACCAAGAGGAGGAACGTGCCTTATTCCGGCTCCACCTGATGCTTATGAAGGAACTCCTATTTATAGGATGAGCACAGATCCTATATGTGCCATAGGAAGTGTTGGGGAGGATGTGGATCCCGTTCTGAACAATAGAGCCCACGTTTTGGGGAATAATGGGACCCATTCTCCAGCCACCTCAGCTAGGGTGGAAGGAGCAGGGCTGGAAGCTTTGGTGCTCTGCTGATTGCTAGGGAAGAGCTGCCTCTAGCTCCCATAAATTAGCTGGATTTTGGAAATGGCACAAGATGAGAAGCGGCAGCGAGGGGACGGGGCGACCCGTGGTCTGCAGGGAGGGATTTGGCAGTGCCGTGCTGTAGGCGCAAGCGGAGCAGATGCTCCCGGTTCCATGGGCGGCCGAAATGTCGCCGTGCCCCTTTTCCCTGCAGCCGGAGAGCGCCGGCCCTGCTCCCCAGGAGGCTGCTCTGGGGTTTCCCTCTTTCCCTATGTCCTTAATGAGACCAAAGCTGACACTTTCCTAAAGCATCTTCCTGGCGGCGCTCCGTGTGCCGGTACCGGTGCTCCCGTTCCTTCCTGTGGGATGGATCCCCACGGCATCCTGGAAAATCCTCCCACTCTCTGGTTTTGTTCTGCCTTTAAAATACACTCTTGCAAGGATGTCTCGGTAGCCCTCACTGTTCTCGCTCTGCCTCCCTCCAGCTGCCAGGAGTCTTGTAAAACACCCTTAATTCAGTGTTTTATGGGCCCGTGGTGAAAGGGTGAGTCTGCAATCCGGAATTAGGAGTTGGAATTAGGCTCTAGCCTAATGTTTTTCCTCTCTCCCCTTTTCTCCCGTGCTCCAGCCAGTGAGTCACGGCTAAAGAAGTCTTAATTGCCTCTAATGATGCATGGGCTGCCCTTCAGGTAACCGCTTTGGTGCCTCGCATCCCCGTGGAGGACGAGGGAGAGGAGGAGGCTCCTGGACACCGGTGCCGCTCGGTCCTGTGCCGTGGATTAGAACAGCCACGCTAATTAACTCCAATTACCATGTGCTGCAGACGAGGGGCCGCCCTTCTGCCTCCTTGGACCGCACTAAAAATGCCCGCTTCGGGGGCACGCGCCCTGCCCACGGCGCCTCTCCTTTTCCCCTTTTGTTCCCTTTGTGTTCCCGGGTGTCTGCCCTGGCTCGGGAAGGTGCCTGGACTTGACTGCGGGTGCAGCCGCCGGGAGCCGCGGGAAGGAGCTGCTCGGTCCGGGCTTGCCCGGGAGCCGCCGGCCGCATCCCGCATCCCGGCCCTTCCCGGTGCCACCGTCGCGGGTGTCCCAAAGAGGCGGCTCTTTGCAGGGGTGCAGCGGGTGTCCCCGCGCAAAGCTGCTTCCCCTCCCTGTGCGTCCCTGTCGTCGGAGCCCTCCCCAGCACTTCCACACTTGGATATTTGGCTTCGGAAGCAGCTTCCTTGGCTCAAAGAGGCCGTGCAAACAGCCTTGGAAGCTGTTGCTTTCCCAGCCCACCTTTTCCCTGCTGCAGCTCCGACCTGGGCTGCGTGGGCAGGGATGAGGAGCCTGCAAATTATCTCTTGCACCTTGGGTGCGGTGACCCGGTGGCTCAAGGGGAGCCTGTTCCCTCCATGCTGGGATGGATGGGGCACGTGCGTGGATCTCCTGCCCTTTTGGCCAATGTCCCAGGGCCTTGGGGCAGCTGAGACCCAGAGAGAGACTGTCCCAGCGGTATTTAATACTTGTTCCCTTTGGAATTAGGTTCTTAAAGCGCATACCTGAATTGAGAGGGCATCAAGAGCCCCTTATCGCTGATGGGCCCCACTGCCTTGGTGCTTGGCACGGGAGGACCCACGTGCTCTTGGGTTTTGGGACACCTGCAGAGCGCGGGTGACCAGGCTGCCCTGGCAGGACATGCTGATGGAGAAGGGATGAAGCCCATGCTGAGGGATCTACTCCATGCAATGGGATTGCACTAACAGCGGGATTTCTACCCAGCAGGGATGGATGAGAATGTGGGTTTTGTCCCCTGCGCACAAAAAGCGTTCAGTTGAGGTTGCCTCTTCGCTTCCTTCTGGGCAGCTTCTCCCGGAGCATGGGGAGAGCTTGGCCCGCATTGCCTGCAGATCGCTCCTTTTTTGGGCAGGGGGAAGAGCCAGCAGCCAGTCCCTCCGGAGCAGAACCGGGAATATTGGGAGCAGAGCGGGGGAGGATGGGAAGAGGCCTCTTGTCACGCACAGGGATTTTTTTTCCTCCCTGGAGTTAGGGTGACTGAAGGGAACCTGGCTTCTGTTTTCCAAGTCATCCATGCGTTTTGGCAGGCCCAGGCAGCTCAAGGAAAGGTTTTCTTTAGTTGTTTATAGCGAGCATAAGTTGCTCAAAACTGCCAGCTGTAATTTTGTACGGGTTTCTATCTGCTGCGGCTCTTGTCATCCCAAATTCCTCATGCTGGAGGACTCCCTTTAGTTTCTCCCACCTACCTGCCTCCTCCTACCCCTCTTGAGGCTCCCATCTCCGTACCCTGATGGATGGACGCTCCTTCCCCATGGAAGGCATCCTGCATTTAATGTCTGCTTCAAAGCTGGGATGTATGTGGATGTAGGGGTGGGTTTTCTTTCTTTTTCCACCCTCTTCCCCCCTTTTACAGTGCTCTGCTCCTTTTGATCTCTTATTTTAGGGCGGCTCCCTCCAGCAGCATTGTCCCTCCTGATGTCCCTCCTAATGTCCCACAAGTATCTGCTGAGAAGCAGCAGCTTATCTGGAGTCTTGCTGAGGCCCTAACAAAGGGCAGGAGATGCTGATAAATAAGTCTTTGACTAATCAGGTCTTTATGCAGCTGCTTTTGAGCCTCCATCAGCAGGGCTGAGGGTACCCAGATACCCCCAGAGAGGAGGGACAGGGATCAAATGCAAATCCTGGGGCTAGGATGCCAAGGAAGGTGTGACCCAATGCGGAGGCGAGAGGAACTATGGGTGTCCCTTGTTGAACACCTGCATGACAAGAGATCCCCTAGGACATACTGGGTGTCACCCAGCAAGGTATGCCCCACATTTGCAAATGCATTGGAGAGTTGTGTTAAAAGCCACTAATGTTTAGGTCTTTCCTGCTTAGTACTTAGTAGAGGGATGGCCGATGGAGTTGGTTCTCCTGGAAGACTTTGCCCCTTGCCTGTGCGTCTTGTGACAAGCTGATGGAAATTAAGTGGGCTGGAGGTTGCTCTTGGGCTCCGGTTGTGGCCGCGAAATGTTCTGACGTGCTCTTCCTCCCTCTTGCTGCAGGTGAGAGTCTGGCGCTACCTGAAAGGCAAAGACATTGTCACGCACGAGATCCTCTTGGATGGTGGGAACAAGGTGGTCATTGGTGGCTTTGGGGACCCGCTCATCTGCGACAACCAAGTGTCGACCGGCGACACGCGGATTTTCTTCGTCAACCCGGCGCCGCAGTACCTGTGGCCGGCGCACCGCAACGAGCTCATGCTCAACTCCAGCCTCATGCGGATAACGCTGCGCAACCTGGAGGAGGTTGAGCACTGCGTGGAGGGTGAGCGGGGCGCCGCGGCGGGTCCGGCCTCCCGGGGGGGATGCCGAGTGCTCAGGGACACTGTCAACCCAGCCCTGGCCTTCTCCTCCTCCTCCTCCTCCCCCTGTAAATGATTCATTGCTGGGTCATCCGGGCAGTGACGTTCTGTGGAGATCTGGGGTAGGAGTCATCGCGCTCTCCGAGCTTGCTTATCACGGGGACGAGGCTGGCAATGACCTCGGGGTTAGAGGCAGGGGTTGCAGCCGAGGTGCAGTCGAGTTGAGCCGTTTTTAATATTGTTTTATGGGTTTAATGCCGCTTCGCAGACTTCTCCGCAAAGGGTTGCGTGGGGATCTGAGCATCCCTGCTGCAGAGGTTTGCCCAAACGCCCGTGTTTGGGTGGTACAGGAGAATAAGCCTCCTCACACCTGAGCTAAGCCTTTCTGTAGGCTAATCTGCAGTGATTAGTGGCTAATCCGTAGTGAAAACCTTTCCACGATTCTCAGCCTGTTTTCCCAACTAAGGGATCTCCTGATGTGAGAAGCAAGACAGATCTGAGGGCTGAAGCCTCTATGGAGGAGAGATTTGCAAAGAGCTGCTGTTTGTTCTTTTTTTTTGCCCAAACATCTTGAAAACTTCTTCTGTAACATCCCACGTGGCTTCCTGCTTCCTCCCTTCATGCTTGTCCTGTGTTGCAGCAAGAGCTCCAAACTTATGGGGGGAAAGTGGTGCCCCAAAAGCCCCTCGGTGTCCCAGCATGTCCTTAAGAGCGGGATGAGTAAACAAGGGAAAGAATGCAGGAATTCTGTGCACACAACAAATCAACAGGCACATTGGCTTCTTCCTCCCCTCTGGAATTGCATCCAGCTGCGAATGCCGCTGGAGAGGTAAATGACCGGAGCCCTGATCCCCAAGGCTGGGAGAGGGTTGGTTCAGCAGAGTAATTCCCAAGAGGCGCTTGTTTCTGGAGTGGTTTTTGCAAGAGAGGCCCGGGAGGTTTTCTGGCTGGACGTATGTGCTTTATACTGCCCTTGAGTGCTATCGGACTTGCTCCTTCCTCGCACGGACTGGAGGGAATGGGGGAAGGAGAAAGATGAGTATGGCCGTGAGTGTGTGGAATGGCTTGTTTGCTTGTTTCGCTTTTTTCTCTCCTTGGAAGAGCTCTTTCCACCCATTTTTCTGTGTCCTTTGGCATGCTGCTGATGGACATTGTCCCTTTCGGCCCCTTGGAGATGACAAAGCAACTGATTTTTTTTTTTTTTTCCCTGCTATTGATTTTAATAGACCTTAGCCCTGGGACCCAATTTTTTTCCTTTGCATTCAGTGAGGAAAAAGTGTCAACTGTTTTTGCATGGACGTAATGCTCATTGCAGCCTGCAACTAGAGGCTGGAACCACTTTAACTGGCAGGGACACGGAGCTCTTCCCCATCCATCCCACGTGGGCATGCCGAAATACAGACTGCCTTGGGATTTGAGGACAGCAGGCTGGTCTGAGCAGAGCAAGGACCTTAATGGGCTGGAAAACAGCCCGTAGAGAATTTCCCAGGTGGGATGAGCCTGGTTTCTGTGAAGTGGCGCCTGGCTTGTCCAGACTGCTCCGTTGAGAAAGGACCAAGGAGGCAGCTCCCAGTGACCGCTCGCTCGGGTGCGGGTTGGAAAGGGATGCCCTGGAGGGATGCAGTGATTTTTTTTTTTTTTTTTTTTTTCTTTAGTTTTCACCTAACTTGGCAGCTGTTTACCTCACCTTGATTAAACCCAGCTCTCCTGCTGTATCCAGTGGGATTGCTCTTGCTTTTCCCATTTCTTGGAGGCTGGTTGCTGGGAGTTGTGTGTGTGCTCTGTGTTAGTAGGTTTGCAGTAGAAAGCATGGGACAAATTGACCATGTGAAAAACAGGTTACCCAAAGCTGGCCCTGGGAACCCACTCCTGCCTCCTTGGAACCATTTCTGATCTCAGAATCTGAGAATTTAGCTCCAGGACTTGCTTCCCATCAGCTCCCTGCTGATGGTTCAAGGCACCATTGCCTGCAATCCCATTCGGTGCTGTGTTTCATCTGCAAAAGCACTCAAGGGGTTGTTTTTAAACAGAGAATTGGAGGAATGGTGGCGGTTGAGCAGAAAAACATGCGTGTTTTGAGTGTCTTCATCTTTTGTCATTCCAGCTTGGAAAGGGGAGTTCAAACCAGGGCACCTCTGTGAAACAGCTCAGGTTAGATTAAGAAAACAGTGGGATTTGCTTGCATTTAATTGTGCTGAAAACGCTTTGGGCAGCTGGAGCTGGAGTTTAGCTCCGTTCTGCAGATGGACTCGGCGTGGAGGGAGTTTTTCCCTCTGACTCCTCAGGACATCTGGATGAGGCTTCCTGGGGGGAAGCATTTGCCTGATAAGCCCCAGCCTCGCTGTATTTGTGCTCCTGAGCACGGTGCTGCATAAAGGGCTGGAATCCCTGCTCGGATTTTTGTGTATTTGGGTTTTTGAGCATGCAGGCTCTGTGCTAGGTGCCGTGTTTCTCTTCCTCTCCCTTCTCCCTGCCCTTACAACATGTTCACAAGCCTCTAAGAGTTCAACAGCTGACTAATCCCTAAAAGATCTTTCCCCCCGTGTGTCTCGTATTTCGCTTTGATCACAACTACAGTTTAAGAAAATCAAGATTATTTTTCTTTTTTGGTATGGGGTGAGCAGGGGCGGTGCGCTGGCTCCGCACTGAGCTGTCTGGGTGGAAGGAAGTCCACATTAAAGCTTTGTTAGAGCCTTGGTTAATGAGAACCCGGAGCTGCTTTTGCTCATGGCATGATCTGCATTAACGCTGGTGCATTTGCTGTAGCTGAGATTGCTTTGCTAGGTGTGGAGAGCTGCATGGACCTTGAATTTCCTTGGAAAAGGCATGTACGTTTGCTCCAAGAGTACAGTACTAATCAAACCTGTTAGGAATTGGGTGCAGGAGACACGTATCACTGTAACAGGAGGTTGCAAGGAGGCGACTTCAAGAAGTTTTCCCCCCTTTTCCTCCTCCTTCTTGGCTCTGTTTTGAATTGAAGGTGATGGGAACAGCATTGACACTCCTGCGTTGGGAGGGTCGGGGAGGTTCTGTCTTCTCCTGTGCTTTTCTTCTTGCAAAGTATCGCGTGAGTTTATGGTCATAGCTCAGAGATTCAGTTTGCTTAGGGAATTCTCATGGAATCTCAATCTGGTTTGGGGTAGGAGAGGAAAGTGGATGAGGGAAGGGGACTCTGTGCACCACCCCAGACCTGCTTCTGGCTAATCCTCGCCTAGGAGTGTGACTTGGCTCTGTTTGTCTTCTTAAACACACTGTAAAGACCCCACATTCCTTCGGGATGGCTTCCATGGAGCTGAGAGCCCTTTGATGTGATGGGGGTAGAGCTGTGACTGGCCTGGTACCCTGGCACTGAGGTTGAAGAGAGCCTGAGGACCTTGTCCTGAGCTTGTGTTCTCCTACCTGGTCCTTCTCCCACTCTTTTTTGCCTGCTTGGTTGCTCTAGGAATGACCTCAGTCACCATGGCCATCCCTGGAGGTCCCGTGCTGATCCCCTCCTGCCATATCTCATACATGTCATCTCGCATGTCGTGGTCAGATCTCAGCTCTGATAGTTCCCCTTGCTTCCTTAGGGCCCTGCTGCAGCTTTGCTGGAAGGCTTCCGTTTAGTTGGCAAGTGCACTGCTTGTTTGCTTTGCCTTGCAGTGACACGCTGCTGCTTTGTCCCGTCCTGCAGGTAGCTGCACATGGCAGAGGTCTTGGATCGCTTGGAAACCCGGCAGTAAAAGGCCTTTTGCAATAAAGGTGTCTGAAACGGTCGTCGTTGTCTCTAGCAGGGCAGGGTAGGACCATGCCTTGTCTTTGCTTTGCAAGCTGCGATCCCCTGAGTTGCTGCGTGCCATCCTGGCAAGTCCTGGACAGTTGTTGTTCTCCTCACACCAAGCGGGGGTAGATTTTTGCAGGATTTCTTGGATTTAGAGGGTTTCTTCTCCAAATGAGGATTGAGATGGCTGCTCATTCTGTGCAGGTGGAAGGCTGTGGCCAAGGCCAGTGACTCCTGCGACAGCAGAAGTTTGCAGATGCTCAGCCCGGGAAACGCAGGGGCTGGTGCAATTTAGAGATGCAGCAAACGCTGAGCCCGGGACCCCCAAACTGCAGAGGGGAGGTCCCCGGGGGGAGAAGATTATCCCTGACATTGCCTGCCAGCCCTCGGTTCGCCTGCCAAGCCGTGATTGCCTTGGCTCTGAGGCTGTCCTCCTGGCCAAGAAGCACCGCATCTCTCTCTGCTCCCCGCGGAAATAAAAACAACGGTGCTCCGAGGCCTCGGGTCAGCTCGGGCCTTTAAGCACTGTGGTAAAATGCAGGAATAACTGCGTTATAAAGGAATAATTGCGTTATAAAGGTGTGGGGCTGGTGCTGGGTGTAAAGGGGGTTTGAAATGAATCTGCTGCCTGGAACCTGGCTCCCCACGTCGGCTCCGCCAGCCTCACCAGTTGCGTCTATTTTTATTGCATTTTTTGTGGATTACAATCAACGGTGATAATCAAATCTCAGTGCAGGCAGCAGATTAGCCTGCTATTTATGACGGGGGAGCGAGGAGTGTTCTTGCTGGTGAATATTGCCAAAATATTTTCCAAAGCAGCCGTTTGCAGAAAATGGCCTGGAATTACCCTCTGATGTGCGACTGGGCAGGCTATCTTCCCAGGTTAATGAAACCTTCCTGGTTTCCATGCCTTGGGAGATACCTGGCGGCTCTGGATATGGGCACAAAAAATCAAATTAGCCGCTTGGAGCTGGGGAGGAACCTCCCAGCTCTGGGTGTTCTGGTCTTAACTGGGCGCAAGAGCGGTGTGGCGGGCGCAAAATTCCCGCTTTGTTCCTGAGCCAACAGATGGAGGGCAGGGATGGGGCTCGGGATTCCCGCTAGGATTTCTTGTCCTGGAGGTGTTCCCTTGCCCGGGAAGTGCTTCCTTGCTCTTGGCCGGGTGTTGCCCCCTCCCTTCCCCCCTCGCACCTTGGGAGCGTG